GGTGTCACTAAAGACGTTTAAATTGGGCGTCACTCAAGAGGCAATCATGCTTAATTTAGGCGTCACTCATCAGGTGTTGACACGTGTCATATTTTTTTAAAAAAACATAATAATTTAATCCTAAAACTTCTGAATGCCATAACTATTGACTCGAGTATCCAAATCAAGTAATTCCTTTTTTGATTTCACATAAATTTTCAAGATCTACGCAATGAGATCTCATTTGACATATTTTATTTCTCACAAACGGAATTTAAATTTTGCAAGAATGATATTATAAGAGTCGTTAAACCCGGAAGCATGTGAGTTCTGGATTTGTGATTTAATATAAATAAATAAAATTTTGATTTGTGATTTAAATTTTTTTTAATAATTTTTTTATTATAACAAAAATTTGGTTTGTAATTTATTTTAAAAATTAAAATTATTCTTATTATTAATAAGGAAAACAAAATAAAGATTTGATTTGTGACTTAAACTAAAAAATCATTTTGAAAAATCTGTAGAAATAAAGGAAATAAATAAATAAATATTCTAAATCTCTAAGGAAGAAGAATATTATTTTTGAAATTAATGATTAATGTTATAAGCTTCTAGGTTATTATTTATGGTCTGAAATTAATTATGGCTTATGAATTTTTTTCAAAAGTAAAATTACCTAAATTAGGCGTGATTGCATCTTGATTGAAACCCAATTTAGACGTCATTGGTGACGTGTCAGGTGTTGACACGTGTTGACACGTGTCACATTTTTAAACTCAGAAGCCTTTGTGTTTTGGGTTTGTGATTTAATATAAAAAATAAATCAAGATTTGATGTGTGATTTAAATTAAAAAATAACAATTATTATTAATAAGGAAAACAAAATAAAGATTTGATTTGTGATTTAAAATCAAAAATCAATTTGAAAAATCTGTATTAATAAAGGAAATAATTAAATAAATATTCTAAATCTTTAAGGAAGAAGGATTACCTGATTTAAATTTAAATTATGTTTGTGAGAAATAAAATATATCAAATAAGATGTCATTGCGTTGATCTGAAAAATTTATGTGGAATCAAAAAAAGAATTACCCAATTTGGATACCCGAGTCAAAAATTATGGCCTTCAGAAGTTTTATGATTAAATTATATTTTTTGGAAATAAAATATGACACATGTCAACACCTGATGAGTGACGCCTAAATTAGGCGTGATTGCCTCTTGAGTGACGTCCAATTTCAGCGTCTTTAGTGACGCCCAAATTGAGCGTCATAATTTGCAATAAATGTGTAATTATTTCTAAAACTGTATTAAATGCGTAATTAATTTATTAAAAATAATTAAATTAATTTTTTTGCCGACGGATTAATTTAATTTCATTAGTTGTGTTAGTTTGTCTGACTGGAGTGGTTGTGTCATCAATGTCTCTGAAGGGGCAGGGTGCAGTCAACTTCTTCTCTTATGGAACTGCTTGCACAATCTAACGCGAACCACTAGTTCGTAACAATAGTAACAATACATGAGGAACAGTGACCATTGTGCCATTGTTCCCACACAAATATACCAAAATGCCACGCGCGTGAACTAATTTCCCAAACTGCCATGCATGCAAGGTCGCTTGGAGCAGTAGTGAACTATGCATGATGAGGTGTCAACAAGCTGGTGGTGTCATAGTTCGCTTCTGATACAAGCGACCTCTGTTGCAATTAATGCCTCACCTGCCATGACACGTGGCTTGCATGCAACAGAGGTCGCCCCCCACCTGGGCGACCTGTGTGCAACGGCTAGTGCCACGTGGCTGACATGCGCCTAGGTTAGGTTGTGGGTGTTAACAGTATGAGCTTGGAAAATTTCACACGGCAAAATAATGTATCGATTATGTATAAATTATAATTTGTATATATTTGTTAGTTATGGTTATGATGACTGAAGTTACTGTTTAGACCTCATAATTACTTCTTCATGGATCATGTTATTCATTAATTAATTATAAGTTTTTCAAAAATATGTTTAGTGATATATTTTTATTTATTTTAAATAATTCATATTTCTATCGTCGATTCATACTCTCAATCAAAAACATATAATTGAAAATATTATATTCAATTGTCAAATTATTATTATTATTATTATTATTATTATTATTATTATTATTATTATGAGGTGAAAAGTTTTGGGCGACCTTTGGAGGACAGTAGCCTCATTAAACTATGATGAATATGTAAGTATTTTATTTGAAAATGGTAATTAGTGAAATGATTATAATGTTGATCATCTCAAAATAATTTTTTTTTTGGTGACGATCTCAAAATTATTTACTTCTTAAGAATAGTGTTGTAACAGAGTGCATGTCAAACAAATGGCATAACATATGCCGGAACAAAATTTTGACGTGCATAATTACACCAGATTGTTTTATTTACTCTAAAATCAACGGCAAATTGAGAAGACTAATTTTGTTAGGATGGAGAAAAAAAGATTATAGCGAATTGTGAAGCAGAGAAAGTTATATTTATTATCATTTTAGACTTATTATTGTTATTATCTGATTAGTTACCGTTATATTAATTTGAAATCAACAATAGAAAAATAGAAGAAAAAAATAACTGTTGTTGATTTTGAATTAATCCTTTGATAAATAGAAGAAAAATGCATGTATCTCCAAGAAACTCTCAAAGAAAACTAAAGCGCTCAAAATGTAAAAACTGATTACAACTAAAAACTGAATTCTCTCTTCAACACGAAAATCTGACTTCCACTAAGTCCTGAGCTCCACTCCTTTTTACAAAACAAAGACTACTTTTTTTTAAAAAAAAAAAAAAAAAATCTTCAAATTGATGTTGTCCCTCATATCAAACAAGCATCCAACGGCCTTCAAATTTCCATCTCATCTTCTTCTTTCATCTTTCATTGCCATGTGTCCTTTTCTGTGTATAAAAAGAAAAATAATTTGCAAAAAGTTAAAATTCTTTTTTTTACCTCTTTTTACCAACTTGGGCTTACTTCTTTAAATTTGGCCCAAATTTTACCTGCACTTTAATACAATTCATCCCATAAAACATAAGATAATTATCACTAAATTAAATAGAAATTAAGACTAACACTCGTCAGATTAGGTTTTGGCCTAAATCCGTTAAGTTTATATAAAATATTTTGAACTTGGTTTGACCTATTAATTTGGTGTACTCTACATTATAGGTTTGGTCTTGTCTATATTTAAAAATCAAAATATATGACCTAGGCATATTAGCATATTTAAGCCTACGAATCTTTAATAATTATCAATGTTAAATATATATATATATATATATATATGTGTGTGTGTGTGTGTATATATATATAAAATAAATTTTTATTAGTTAAAATTATATAAATAATTATTTATTTTATTTTAATTAAATTAAATAATACGATATACTGACGTATAGGTCAATCTTTGTAAAAGAAAATGTTTTCTAAACAAGTTTTTTTTTGAGGTCCAAGCCTATTTTATTTTACTAAATATATTAGCTAGGTCAAACCTAACCTACTTAGACCGAATTATAAACACTTAATAGACCATTTGATCCATTTAAATCCCTACATGGAAGTTATGTGTGAGGAAGAACTTGCACTTTGAAACTAATTGGAATCTACTGGTTTATTTTACTTGCCATGGTTAAGACTTAAGACAGCCACTACTATGAATTAAAAAAAAATAAAAATTCAACGTTGTGTTTTTTCTGTTGAGAAAAATTCTTACTATTCATATATGCAAATTATTCTAAGAATGAGTGGGGTTATATTTACAATCTCTTTCAATTTATTTTGCCACCATTAGATTAACTCCAAATCTATGGTTCCTAATTTTTCTTCTCTCTCTACTCTCACACCACCATGTTCCCTTATTTATAGGGATTTGACACAGCAACCTTCCTTCTCTTTCATCTCACCTTCTCACACTTTCTTCCCCCATGCAACATGTTAGAAAGAACATCGTATTTTTCAAATTTGGAGAGTATGGTATAAGCCCTTTTCCCATTAAAATGGATACAATAATGAAATCTGGATTCAATGGATTCAGTTCTTGCTAATGGCAACTAATTGTTATGTTGTATTATGTTATATATTTCTCCAAAGTTGGATTTTTTTTTTTTATCAGTTGGAAAATTGTAATGTTATTGAACTCCCAAAACGGCTTATGTTGAAGCAGTGGGTACAGAATAATTCCAATAGAATCAATAACTACTGGAGTATTGGGAAGATTTATTGAGAGAGATACGTGAATATGTGTATTGCGAACTACTTGCATTTTAAAGTTTAATAACTTTGTATTCCAAAAAAAAAAAAAAGTTTAATAACTTTAAAGAGGAATGTTATATTTACAAACTTTTTTTCTTACAAACTATATTAAGTATGACTGGTCAGACTTCAATCAAGAGTGTATGACCTATAAGACATAACATAATGTAATTTGTAAGAGTTTGTAAACAAAAAATTTGTAAATATAACATTCCCCAACTTTAAAATAGGTTTTAAGAGAAACTTTTTTGTTGTAAATATAAACCTCCTTTTTGGTTGTTGGCTTGTTGCCTTCTTCAGTAAGGGCTTTAACTTTGATAATCTTTGCTTAAATTTAGTTGGCTTTTGTCATAAGCATTTTGTCATGCGTAGAATACCAAGTATTAGCAACTTGAACATACTATGGATCCTACAATTGGGGCATAAGTGCATGGAATATATATTTTTTCTTCCTCTTTCAATATATGTCACTGCTTAATCACAATGCTATGAGGCAAAATGACGGAAGAAATTTGAGATAAACTTAGAAAAATTTGTAATTAGATACAATTTAATATATTTATTTCATAGTTAATGTGTAAAAATATTTGTAATTATGTATCTAATTACAAATATTTTTAGTTTTACACACGTCTTTTTTTTGGAGATCTACATCCATTATGTGGCATAGGGGTTACATCCCGTATAAAATTTAAGACTATACCACTTCTACGAATAGCTCTTAATGTCGCATCTCTTCAGAGACCGAAACCTTTTATCATGACTTCTGCCCGTTGCATGCCTTGATCCGCAACCATTCTAATAGCATTTCCTGCTGCGATTTGAGTTGCAAATGGCGTTCCCCTCCGAGTACCTTTGAACCCAAGAGTACCTGCGGAGGACCAAGAAATCACCTGACCCTGAACATCTGTAACAGTCACAGTGGTACTGATGAAACTAGCTTGAACATGAATAACCCCCTTTGGTATTTTACGAGCATGCTTACGCGAACCAATACGTCCATTTTTACGCGAACCAATTTTTGGTATAGGTTTAGCCATATTTTTTATGATTTCATATTGAAATTTATACTATTTTTTTCTTTAATCTAAATTTATTTTATTTGTGCATCTGGTTTTTAAAAATAAAAATTCCTCTTTTGTGGAAATATTATCCTTGTCTTTGTTTATGTCTCGGATTTGAACAAATTACTATAACGTGTCCCCGCCTGCGGATTAATCGACATTTTTCACAAATTTTACGAGCAAAGGCCCTTATTTTCATATTTATCATTCATTTACTTAATCGCAAATCTATTTATTGAAAGAAAATAAGGTTTATTTATTACATTTTTCCATTTTGAATTTCAAATTGTACCCCCCTCCTTAAAAAGTTGAATAGAAGGTTATCGTATAATTCGTATATCAGAAAAATTACCATATATAAAATAAAATTTCTCCGTCGATTCTTTCTAATCGAGCCTCTTGATCTGTCATTACACCCCTAGAAGTAGAAAAAGTTACAATCCCCATCCCTCCCAAAATTCTAGGAATTCGTTGATAATTCAAATAGATTCGTAGACCGGGTGTACTGATTCGTTTTAAATTTAAAATAATTTTATATGACCCTTTCCTATTTCTTCTATATCGTAGAGTTAAAACTAAAAAATATTTGTTGCTTTCCCTATGTTTTCTGACGTTTTCAACAAAACCCTCCCGTAAAAGTATTTTCATAGTGTTTTCGGTAATGTTAGTAAATGGTATTTGAACCGTTCCTTTTTTATTCATGTCAGCATTTCGTATAGAGGTTATTATGTCAGCGATGATATCCTTACCCATGATAAACGAAAATTATGGTTGCCCTTGACTTTTCATATAATCAACATGCTCTTTTCTCTATGTTTTTTTCTTATTCCATTTTTTTATTGGGTTTTTATGAAATATTAAATAATATTAATATAGATATATCTATCTATCATGGTCTCGTTTTTTTATAATACTTCGGGTGCTAGTGAAACTATTTTAGTGAAATTTAAATGTCTCAATTCACGGGTGATTGCACAAAAAATTCGAGTTCCTTTTGGATTTCCCTCTTGGTCAATAACAACCGCAACATTATCATTATAGTGTATTACTATACCGTTACTGCGTTTGAGTTCTTTACAAGTACGTACATTTACAGCTCTGATCACTTCTGATCTTTCTAAGGACGTATTTGGTACTGCTTCCTTTACTACAGCAACAACAATATCACCAATAGAAGCATATCGTTTATTATTAGCTCCTATAATTCGAATACACATCAATTCTCGGGCTCCACTATTATCCGCTACATTCGAACGGGTTTGAGGTTGAATAATATTATTTTTGGGTTTGTTCTATCCAGTTCAAAAGTTGAAGTGACAAAAATGATAGAACCCGGTACACCGAAGTGAAAAAGAACCAATTTTAATTATTATTATTTTAACCTTGAATAAAATTCATTAAACTAGTAATGAAAAAGAATTGAAGTGAGTAAACATAAACAGAAAAACCAAAATCATGGAGGATGTCAATTTCGCAAACTATGTAGTATACAGACCTGGAGTGGAATCTAGGTTGGTTCGGCTTATGCTGTATTTAGTGTTAAAAAAATATAAAATTATTAATATAAATCACCCAGTGCCTTATAGTTTTGGGTTAAAAAGATTTTTTACCATTAATGTTGCATTATGTAGGTTAGGTTGTGTGTTAACAATATTGAGCTTGGAAAATTTCACACGGCAAAATTTCAAGCCTGACCTAATATAGGCTAGGCCGAAGGCCCTTATAAGCCGGCGTAGTCCATTTACACTCCTACTATTATGGCATGAGCAAGCTAATTTTTTTTTTTCAGTAAAAAATGTGTTCCCCATTATATGCCAATTAAAGACAAGGCAAAGACATTTACCAAAAAAAAAATAAAAAGACAAGGCAAAGAACAAAATAATAAAACAGTGGTATTGCCAGCATATTCATAAGCCATGGAGGAGGAGCACCCTCAGCCATTGCAGGAGCCTTTTTTTTTTTTTAAATTCATTTGAAGTATTGCCTAAAATAAATATATATAAAATGTTGCTGGAGCATACCTCAGATGTCCATTTAATGGAAATAATGAAGGTCATTAAATTTAAAATTAAAAAAACAAACAAAAAGAATAAATACAATAATGAAGGTCAATGCAACCTTTTTATAAACATTTAATTTTCAATAAAGAAACCTAAAAGCGGTAATAATTGAAACGGTAATAAAAAAACAGAATAACGTTATGACGCAAATCAAATCAAATCAAAATCAAAATCAAATTTCAATCTTAGATTTAATAAATCCAGCTAATCAACGCAGAACAACAAGTGACTAAGTGAGGTGCAAATTCTATAAATTATACCACACCACTTCATCTCCTCACAAGTAAACTTTCTCTTCTCTTTCTGTCTGCATATCTCTCTCTCTCTCTCTCTCTGTACATCTATCTGTTTACAACCACAACATGCAGAACAATAATTAATGTAACAGATCAAATTAAGGGGTATAAGTAAACATACATAACGTACGCTAGCTGTTTTTTGCATTCTTGTACTTAGTTTCAGAGGTTGTGGCTAGCTATCTTGTCTCTTAATTTTTTGTATTGTATTGTTCTAGTTCAGTTACTTTTCTTTGTAGTAAGCTAGCTGTTTGGGATTTCTTGGAGACTGTTGCTCTGTCCCATGGATTTGTATGGTTTCCTTTTAATTAGCTTTAGAGGTTGTGGTTCTTGTAAATATTCTTGGTTTTTCTTTTGTCAAAATGCAGTGTAATTGCATCTTTCTTTGTAACATCCTTTTAATTAGTTTTAATCAAGATTTGCTTTCTTTCTTCTTCTTTTTCTTGTAATTAATGGCTGATATGAAGTAATTAATGGCTGATAATGTGATCATCGTAATGAGGTTTATGAATGATCTAAACCCGCTGCTACTGTACTAATGGCTCATGAATACTCTTTTTATAAAAAAAAAAAAAAAAAAATCTCATTCTCCTTTTTATAAAATATTTATATCACACGTACACACACTCATTTACTTAGGACAGTTGTGATTAGAAATTAGAAATTTTGGTTCATTACTTCATTTACATTTTGCTGTGGCATTATCAGGTTTTCTTGTATTGTCTCTTCTGTCTTGGGTCCCTGTCGTCTATGACCTTTTCTCATTTCATGAATTCATTGTTGGCCATCGCGGTTTGGTGTGCTGCTTACATTACTGTTGCAGTTCTTGCCTCTTTTCGAGCCGTCAATTGTCTTTGCACTATCTGAACTTGGGAGGAGGGAAAGGGAAACTGCTTGGAATCTTATAAGGCTATCATGGGTTATGCTCAACTTGTTATAGGTCCTGCTGGTAGTGGCAAGGTAATTTATTGTATTTGCCTCATTTGTTCTGTTAAACTAGATATGTACTTACTTTGTTTGCAATGCTGTTCCCCTTCCCCCTCTTGTTTAAATGATGAGTTTCCATGTTGTGAACCTTGATCCTGCTGCTGAAAATTTTGACTATCCCGTTGCCATGGGTAAACTGATTGTGTTGTTTAGTTATTGCTTTTGTGGGTTAAGATGTTTTGTTTCATGGAGCTTAGCTACTTTGGGTTATGATGCTTGCAGATATAAGGGAACTCATTTCCCTGGATAATGTTATGGAGGAACTTGGATTAGGTCCTAATGGTGGTCTTGTATACTGCATGGAGTATCCTTTTATTTTTATTTTTATCTTTTTAAAATTTTTCTGTTTCTATCTTCTTTACAAGCTTCATTGAAACAGTAATTCTACATCATTGATTATTTCAGGCTGCCTTGAGTAGAGATTCTGTTTAATAGTACAGATTATCTCTATCTATTTCTCTGTTTCTCTTTTTCCCCTTTATTTACTATTTTAGCTATTTGAAAATTTGATTTAAAATCTGTTGCCTTAATTATTTTATTTAGACACCTTGAAGATAACCTAGATGATTGGTTCACTGAGGAACTGGACAATTATTTGGATGATGATTACTTGGTTTTTGACTGCCCTGGTATATGTGCTTGTCTCTACCGTTTTGTATTTTATATATATGTATATTATTATCTAATGATTACAATTATGACAATTTTGTGATTGTGAGGTTATAATATCGTTATAAGATGCAGTCAAATGAGTGCGTAAGGCCACAAAATTAGAATGGGTAGTATAATGCAACTAATGCTTAGATTAAATATTGTCCTTTTAGAAGAAAACGGTTGCTTGGCCAATTTGCATGACCTAAAAGATTATTTTGTTTAATGTGGTTTATAAAGTTTTTTGGTTGCAAGTGACATGACAAATTGGAATCAATCAACTTAGCATTGGAATGTTTTGCAGGTCAGATTGAACTCTATTCACATGTGCCAATGCTTCGGAATTTTGTGGAACATTTGAAACTGAAAAACTTTAATGTCTGTGCTGTGTATTTACTTGATTCACAGGTTTGTGATAGTTTGCTTAAATCATGTTTCCTTTTTAAGCTATTGACTCTCTCATATTCCTTCTGACTTCCTATTATTGTATTCTTACTATTTCTGTTGACACTAATAATTTTAAAACATTTCCAGGTGATGACTGATGTGACCAAATTTATAAGTGGATGCATGGCATGCCTTTCTGCAGTGGTTCAACTTGAACTGCCTCATGTTAATATCCTTTCAAAAATGGACCTTGTGACTAACAAAAAGGATGTTGAAGAGTAATTACTGTTACTACATTTCTTTCCATAATGTTTTAACCAATTTATTCATTTAAATTCTGATGTATTTCTTTTTTATTTACGCTTAGATTCTTGGATCCAGAGCCCACCTTTTTACTGTCTGAATTGAATCAACGGATCATGGCTCCTGAGTTTGCTAAGCTGAATAAAGCTTTGATTGAACTGGTGGGTAATCTATGATTTTTAAAAAATGTTTTTTTTTTTTGTTTTTTTTGGCCAATACTTAGATAAAGTATAAACTGCATTGATTTAATTTGTTTTCAATGGTACACGATTGATTAAAATCTGGGTGATAC